CCTCTGAACCCTCAGAGTCCTCTGAACCCTCAGAGTCCTCTGAACCCTCTGAACCCTCAGAGTCCTCTGAACCCTCTGAACCCTCAGAGTCCTCTGAACCCTCTGAACCCTCAGAGTCCTCTGAACCCTCTGAACCCTCAGAGTCCTCTGAACCCTCTGAACGCTCGGAGTCCTCTGAACCCTCAGAGTCCTCTGAACCCTCAGAGTCCTCTGAACCCTCAGAGTCCTCGGAACCCTCGGAGTCCTCTGAACCCTCGGAGTCCTCGGAGTCCTCTGAACCCTCGGAGTCCTCGGAGTCCTCTGAACCCTCGGAGTCCTCTGAACCCTCGGAGTCCTCTGAACCCTTGGAGTCCTCTGAACCCTCAGAGTCCTCCAAACAGTCTGAGTCCTTGTGTTTCACCAGACAAAGAAAGCTGACTCAGCCTCAACAGGACCTGCAGTCAGATCTGAATCTAAAGCAGATGATGTCCTCAAAGATCTGAGGGGCTGGAGATAAGGCTGGTCCTCCAGACCACCACAGAAGAAGAAAACAACCTTTTGACTGTTTCCTCTTGGCTTCAGGCTGTTCAGAAGAAGATCTGAAGATTGTGACTCACCTGAGTTCATATTTATTCATTAATCTGACTCCTGGGTCTCATTAGAAACAGATCCTGGTCTCAGAACCAGAGACACATGTTCTGTTGGATCTTTAGATCCTGCAGCTGAGACTCTGGTTCTGTCTTCAGGGCTTCAGGACCAGAGACGGACACATCGTGGTAGCTGCAGGAAACGACCGGCAGTTTGTCCAGATGTGTCAGGTGAGTCCACATCCACCTGGAGGTCCACCTGGAGCCGGGTTAGAACTGCAGAACTCTGACGGACTGAGTTCTGACTCAGGTTCTTACTCAAGTGTTGTTTGTTGGGTCTGCAGGTTCTGGACCTGATGGAGATCTCAGAGGAGCCCAAATACAGAACCAACAAGCTGAGAGTCCAGAACCGCAGAGAGCTGCTGGATATCCTGTCTCAGAGGTACCAGAACCACCAGTAGTCCTGAACCCTGAGCCACCCTGCAGAGAGGACCAGGTTTAAGGATTACTGGACCAGTTGTTGGTTCAGTCCCTGGTTCTGTCAGGACCTTAGGGTTAGGGTTACCAGAATAAAATAAAAAATAAACCATAACAGCAGCTTTAAACCAGAAGATCAGTCTGATGATTGTTCGTGTTCCTGTCAGGTTCCTGCAGGAGAACACAGCTGATTGGATGAACAGGTTCCAGGGCTCAGGTGTTCCTGTGGGACCAATCAACAGCATCCAGGAAGTGTTCGCAGAGCCGCAGGTCAGTGACGTCACTTCCTGTAGTGTTGGTCTGAACTGGGTTAGTTTAGTTTGAACTGGTCTGGTCTGAACTGGGTTAAGACCAGAATAATAGATCAGGTGGACCATCAGCAGACCTACAGTCTCTCAGGTAACAGGCTCCTGTATGAAGTCCAGGTGTGGTCCTTGTCTCTGTTTCAGGATCCACTTCAGGTAACAGGTGTGAACACTCTGATTCAGGTCTGATCTGAACCAGCTGATGGACCCTAAACCAGAACCAGACCCTCTTTGGTTCCCATCTGTCAGTCTGTGTTCTCCATCAGAACCAGGATCAGTTCTGTTGTGGACCACCAGGGGGAACTGAAGGACCTGCAGCTGCACAGGAACAAGTTCACATGAATGAGGGGGTCTTCATTCAGGGCCTGGACTGATCTAAGACCTGATCAGGTCTGACCAGGGTCTGCTGATCAGGTCTGACCAGGGTCTGCTGATCAGGTCTGACCAGGGTCTMCTGATCAGGAGTTCTCATGACTTTCTGAAATTCCTTCAGATTTTCAGACAAAAGTTTGACCTCAGACCTCAGTCAGACAGGGACAGGATGGACCTGAGTTCTGGTCCAGACTAGTTAAAGTTTGAACCGGACCTTTAGGGTCTGTGGACCACAGAGACGGTCTGTTCCTGTTTCTTTAGTGATATTTATAAAAACTGTTACTGTGATCCTCTGTGAGCTGAGGGTTGAAGAGGCTCTCAGGTCCTGGTTCAGGTCTGTAGGTCCTGGTTCAGGTCTGTAAGTTCAGGTCTGTAGGTCCTGGTTCAGGTCTGTAGGTCCTGGTTCAGGTCTGTAGGTTCAGGTCTGTAGGTCCTGGTTCAGGTCTGTAGGTCCTGGTTCAGGTCTGTAGGTTCAGGTCTGTAGGTCCTGGTTCAGGTCTGTAGGTCCTGGTTCAGGTCTGTAGGTTCAGGTCTGTAGGTTCAGGTCTGTAGGTCCTGGTTCAGGTCTTTGAGTTTGTTCTACCTGCAGCTGTGTGTTTTATTAAAACAGAGTAAAAACTGAGGATGGTCCTCTCAGTCTACAGAACTGAACCCTCTCAGCAGATCCAGTTCTGCCTGTAAAACCAGCATCACGTGCACGTGAGACCTGTGCATGTGCACGTGAGACCTGTGCACAGGTCTCACGTGCACATGCACAGGTCTCACATGCACATGCACAGGTCTCACGTGCACATGCACAGGTCTCACGTGCACTGCTGCTGACACTTGTTAAACACCATAAATACAGTTTTAATTTAGAACCAACAGATAAATCAGCAGAAACATTTGTTTAGTTTTGGTTTGTTGGAGTGATGGCGTGACGCAGGACCACCATCTTCATCCTACTGAGGAAGACTCCTGTGAGTCCTTGACCCAGATTCTGTCTCCAGCATCAGCCTTTGAGGCCCTGAGGGAATCTCCTCTAACTCTAACTGATGATGAAAACATTCAGGATCCACCCGTCTGTCATGACGACACATGAGATCATGATGAACTCCTCTCTGCTGGACCCGTCTGCAGGTCCGGTTCTCTGCTTCGGGGCTCGTCTTCTGGTACCAGAGTGCTGACAGCAGCTCCTCTCTGGATTTATTTTGCTCACATAATTGCTCACATCTCTCCTGCAGTAAATGTTTCCCACATGATGACTGTAATTAAGCTGAAATCAGGAGCTCTGATTCACGCTGCCGCCTCCTGTTTACACCGAGCATGCTGGGAAATAATGGCTGCCTCTGTGATTAGCGCGCCGTGCGTCTGTTAGCATCCATTCTCTGGCAGTAAACACGTCACAGCTCAGGTTTCACAGGCAGAACCTCCTCCAACACAGTTCTGGGTCCTGCATCACATTGTTCTGGTGTCTTCAGGGTTTTAAAGTTTCAGAACAACTCTAAACGAATCCATCTCACAAATGGAACCAAAACAAGAACCATCCTTCACTTACCGCTGATAGAACCACATGGACCCACAGAACCACCCTGATAGAACCACATGGACCCACAGAACCACCCTGATAGAACCACATGGACCCACAGAACCACCCTGATAGAACCACATGGACCCACAGAACCACCCTGACACCTGATAGAACCACACACAGCAGGGTTTATGTTGAGAAACTGTCAGATTCTACAATCCAAAGTTCACAGATGTCACTGATTACCCAGAGGCTCCATCTAGGTTGGATCATCACACATGAAGACCTGGATCAGTTGAATCAGGACTCCAGATCTTTGGTGGAAGAAATGGACCGGTGTACTTAGTGGTAAGCACGGTGGTGGTACCATCATGCTCTGAATCTGTCTTTCTGGACAAAAGAAAGACAGATTCAAAAAAATTAGGGCTTGGATCAAGGTTTCATGATGGTCCTGGGCTTGGATCATGGATCTGACCAAATGAAACTATGTCCTCCCATTCCAAAGCCTGAGGAACCAGAAGGGACAAGTTCTGGACTGCCTTCAGTCCTGACTTGTCTTCAGGACAGTGGTTTAAAGATAGGCAGTTTAAACACAAATGAGACCAAAGAGTTGAAGACTGGAAGTTTGAGGAGCAGTGGTTTAAAGACCGGAGGTTTGAAGACGGATGGGTTGAGGACCGGAGGTTTGAAGACAATCATTTTGAAGGCTGGTGGTCTAAAGACCAAAGAGTTGAAGACCAGAGGTTTAAAGACAAAGGGTTTAAAGACCAGTAGAATAAAGACCGATGGTTTGAAGACTGGTGGTCCAAAAAGATCCAATTCATCACCCTGAGGCTGATCTTTGTCCTGGAACTGATTTTACTCCAGTAAAGCTCAGCTCCCTCAGCAGCTCCTACAGTGCTCAGTCTAAACACAGAACCTCTCAGACCTGATCCTGGGATTCAGAAGAAGCTTCAGTTAATGAAGTGAAAGCTGTAAAAGCAGTGGGACGTCTCTGGATGTTGGAACACAGCAGCTCTGCAGAGAAACTGCTGCTGATCAGGAGGAACTGACATCTGGAAGTCATTTAGGAGGAACTACAGACTGCTGCTCTCTCTCTCATTCATGATTCAGGGTCTCTCGCCCACATTGAGATGGCTGCTGGCTCCTGAAGACCTTTGTTGAAGCTGGGACAAGGAAGGCTGAGAGAACAGAAGGAACCCTCTACCATATTTTTGTCATATTAAATGTCTTAAAGGGTAAAATGTRGGAAAACAAAGTCCCACAGGATGAGGAGGTCTGAAACATCTGAAAACTCAAAGACCTTATCAGTGGTCTCAGAAGACCAGATACCTCTTCATCAGACAGCAAGTTAACAGGATTTCCTCAGACTGCTGGTTCTTCTGGTCTGGACTCATCCTTCTTAGTCCTGAAGGTTCCTGGACCTGATGGGTCCAGAACCAGAAGGGTCCTCTGCATGGAGTTAATGGATGGTTGGATGTGAGGAACAGTCTCTGCAGGTCTCTGCAGGTCTGTGAGGACTGGTCTCTGCAGGTCTCTGCAGGTCTGAGTCATCAGGACTGATGGATCATCTCACGCTTCAGAAGAAAAACTCTCGGATCGTTTGGATTCTTCCTCATCATGTTCTGGATGCTTCTGGGGGGTCGGGTTCAGGATCAGGTGGATTTAAGGTCGTGTTGACACCTCAAGGTCATGTAGTCCAAAACCGTGTCTGGTCCCAAATAAAGCACCGGCTGACAGCTGGACCTGGTTCTGGTTCTGGGTGAGCGCTGATCTGATGGGGCTGGATGACAGACTTTCAGCACATTGAATGACTTCAAACAGGATTTCAGAGTTAATATCTGACAGGAAGTTGAAGGTTTGAATCCCGCTCCCGGCTGTAAATCCACAGAAATTTTAAATTTAAGGTTTTGTTGCTGGAATCTGAGCAGAAACTTGTTGAATGAAATATCTTCACCTGATGTTCTGTCAGATCCATCCCACCAKAGCTTTCTTTCTGGAGTTGTTTGGYTGTGATGAGCTGAACTTTACCAGCTGTTTGTCTCAGATCAGCTGAAGGCTGTGGACTCTTGTTGGACCGGTCTTGGGTCTGATGATCGTGGTGTCAGCTCAGCCTGGCTCTCCGTGGGGTTGGGTTGGTGGTTTGGAAGACGTTCAGTCAGCTTGTTGATCTGCCACCAGATAAATGGTTGAATGTGTTATCAGAGGGAGCGCTGAGTCGGCATCATAACTCTGCTGTGTGAGCGCGGTTTGGCTGAGCGGCAACATTTTTCTGTAATAAACCCAACGAGGGGGATTAAATCACACAGAGAAGAGCTGAGGAAGCTCACATGGAGGGAAGGACCGTGAGTCAGAACTTCCTCTGGTTCTGCTCCTGGGTGGGAGATCCATCACATCAGATAGAAATCACAGATGAACCTGAACAGAAGAAAGAGAAACCTGAACGTACATTATTCAGATTCTGGGGCCTAAATCAGATCAGTGTTTGAAAAGGTCAAAGGTCAGTCTGAGACGGGCTCAAAGTTCTTCACACACATCTACAGAAGTCCCAAATCATTAACGAAAAGGAAATATATGTTAATTTATTAATTAAATCTAACAGTTTATTCTGCTGTGTTCATGTCTTCAGACAGAAACAATTATTTAATGAAATGTTTGTAATAAAAGAGTTTTATTGTTTTTATCTGATTCATGTAAAATAATGTTTCTGACAAAACAGAAAACATCCATCCATCATCCATCATCCATCCATCATCCATCATCCATCCATCCATCCATCCATCATCCATCCATCCATCTGATGGTTCATCCATCATCCATCCATCCATCCATCCATCCATCATCCATCCATCATCCATCATCCATCCATCATCCATCATCCATCCATCCATCCAT